ATGGGCGAGCCCAAGTGGCTTCCTTTTGGCTGAGGGAGGGGTGGGGTTTTGCAGCGTGGGGATGTGTCTTTGCCAGCGCTCGTCAGCGTAGTGGGGCCTCAAAATTTTCTGGTGTTGTGGTGGTAACTCTGTGAGGGATGATGAAGAGGGGATGACTTGGATTTGGAGGTTACGTGCCAAGCCTGTTCCAGTGTTAAAGTTTCAGGTCTTGAAGTTTTTACGCTGCCGATGTTTTCTGCTGGTTTTGACTTGTAAAGAGTGATTGCTTTCTCTCAAGTTGAGAAATGTTTATGTTGGGGGTTTCCTATTCATTTTCTGAAGCCCTAAACTCTCTTCTGTTCTGGATTTGCTCACCTTCCAGTCATCGGTTGCCTCCTGAGTACTTCAGTAGCTCTCAGCCAAACAAAATGAAGGTTATTTTGCATTAGGAGAGGGTTAATTTTGTTTTGTGCAAGGCCTTGTTCACACAGGAAATTGAATTTTGTTATGTTGCAGTCTGAGTGTCTCCCACCTTCTTTGATGGCCATTAGCAAGAGCACGTGAAGTATATTTAAATCAGGGAATGAAAGAAGCTGTTAAAATACACTTTACTGCCTTCTGAATGCCATCTTTCGTATTTGGGGTACTCAATGTATCATTTTGTCAAAATTTACACGGAACGCCTTTATTTTACAAAACCTTTTGACTCGATGCATACCTGCATAATTAGTAACAAAAGGAGATGGCATGTGGTGGGGATAATATGCACACTCGTAGAGTATTGTAGAAGCTGTGGAGCATAGTATGTGGGATAGAACTCGTTTCATCTTGTTTTGTTTTCCTCATCTTTAGTTTGCGAAGACTGAAAATTTTGTATCCAAAACCACATAACATGAAATGCTATGTGTACATATCTCGATATGCAAATAATAAATCTGTATTATAAGGTAAAAGCAGTTTGAAGTAAAAGAATACATAGCAGAGATTGCATACCTGCAAAAAAAAACCCCAAACCAACCAACCAACCAAAAAAAAAAACCCAAACAAAAAACCCACCAAAACAAAAACCAAAACACATAGAGCTTTTAGTTACAATTCTAGTCAGTAGTCTTGTGTTTGTCGTCTGGGGTCGGGTTCTGTGCCATATACTTGCATGCACAGTTCAAGCTTGGGACTGAATACAGTTTTATGCTCATGGGCCTGTCTGCTCCCTGAAGTGATGTCAGGTGATGATGTTGGTGTACTTCATATTGGCATTGAGTGAAAGGGAGGCAATACTCTGACTTCAGACATAGAGCATTGAGATGCAAAGATTAAGATAATTTCGTCAGATGTATTTCTTTAATTTTAGGTATTAAGGCTTAGGTAGTTCCCAGCTTGAACTTTGTAACATTCTGAAGGGTCATCAACTATAGTGGCAAAAATTCAGCGCTCCTAAAGCTGCTTTTTTTGTCATGCACTTAAGAATGTACCACCAGTGCTCGTCTATGAACATCCCTACTTGAAAGCATTGCCTAAGGGGAGACATTCAGTAGTGCTCTCCAAACAACAGTCAGCTTTGTAAACAGGAAAGTCTCCTGCCTCTTCCTGCAGTCATCTTCCGTATTGGATGCAGAATGACTTCAGAAAACAGCTTCATTCTCTGTTGATCTATAATTAATATATAATGCATACTGGAGAAGTTTAGGGACCTAACAGCATTATATAGTTAGTTATGCATATCCATGAGTGACTATATTAAGATTACCTGGAAAAGTGTCAATTCTGACTGTTTCCTGCTTTTTTTGATTATACAGTCACCTACATAACTGATGCGTGGGCTTTCTCTCTTCTCTTTTAAAGCTGTGACTCCAACACCTGTTAAATAAGGGGCTGGTTAAGTAGCTAATAAAGTTTCTCTTAAGCAAGTGAGTTCTTGTTCCTTTTTTTTTTAACCCCCTCAAGTAGTCTATAACTTTGCCAAATTGAGAATTAGTGGAAGGAAGCTAGAAACCGCATAACATTCAAAAAGGAGCGATTTTTCTAATAGGAAAGACAGTAATGTTATATCTTGATTAACTTGTATTCCCTTTTTAACATAGAAAAATCATGTTATCTTTTAAATATAGTTCATTTACTTGTTAGAAGCATTTCCATTTACATGTTTCTTCAAAAGAACAAGTGTCCAAAATCACAAGGAACTTTTTGCTGAAAAAAATGGGAAATTTCAGGTTAAATTCAGAGGTTGAATTTTTGCATTTATTGGATACTATTTTCAGTTGCTTTTACAACAGCAAGTCCTACTTAGGCTTGTCTCTTGACAAAGCTAATAGATATTGTACTATGAAAGTAAAACTAAAAAGGAAACATCATATACAGAAATGATATCTGATGCCACACAAAATACGCTTTTCTGCTAAAAATAATGCCTTGTGATTGCTATTCAGGTGCCTGGTTAATAATAGGTGCCTACTGTTACATTGTTTCCTTAATGCGTTCCTTTTTTTTAGTATGCGATAGCACCTGAAAATACATTTCCGTGCTCCTGTTTTCCTGTGTTTTCCGATAGACCAAACTTTCCAGTTTGGCAAATCAATGCCTAAGACTGTTATGTTCTGATATGCAAAAAAGTAACCTTTAATAAACCTGTATTAACTGTCTACTTTCCAGTGTGTGGAAAAAAAAAATACCATAACCTATTTATTTTATGCAGGGATCAGCTTTTCCTGTCAATTATGCAAGCAGAATTATGCAAAAGCAGTGTTTTCTTCTGTAAGTATAAAAGGCCCTCCTTCTTTCCACTTCTCCTCCACACTCCCTAAAAAAATCCAACTTCAACAACTTATTTTATGCTTTCCCCATTACCACATTTCTAGACAATCCGACTTAATGGGAGTACGGTTGGCTGGATCCCATGTTGATACACAGCCTAAGACTAATCCTTTGGTAAGTGTTTCATAAAATGGTATTTTGTATATTCTTTTACTAAAAAAGAGGGTGTACAGAAAAACTTGGAAGTCCTATTGCAGCTTTTTAAAGTTTTGTCTTAGTGATGTCAGATTTTCTGTAGAGAAAGAAACAATTTAGATTTACTGGTATTTGAAATTTTTTTCCCCGCAAGTTTTCTATAGCTCACAGTTGCTTCTTAGTCACTTTCCTGCTGTAACTCTATGAAATACCAGCTTTTTGGCCACATTCAGTTCAGCGCCTGCAGCAGCTTAGCCAGCCGAAGGCCTTTGTCTCTGGCTTGGAAGCTGGGAGCCCAGGGCTGATGAGGTGGGAGGCTCATGAAGGCACATAGTGGTACCTTGCTTTTAGAATCTGAATGCCTCCATTTTGAGTAGGACTTAACATGTGTTCAATCTGTATAATACATGCAAGCAAGCCAAAATCTTACAGGCAGTATTAGATCTGTAGTGCCTACACAGCCTTCCTGTCATGTCTGATGCTTGCTAGATGTACTGTGCTAAACTGCCTGGGAGTAAACCTGTGGGAAAATGAGTGCTTCCTGGACACTTCACGGCTTTTCAGATGGTCAGTGAGCCCAGGCCATCGGAAATTGAAGTTCTGCCTGAAAGTCACAAACTTGCACCTGGACAAACAGAAAAGATGATGTATCTGACTTAGTAAAGTGAGAATTCTGGTTATTGTCGTTAATGTTCTAGTGACTGTCCATACCAAAGCAGAGTCTTTGGGTATTCTCACATTGCTGTTTAAAATACAAATATTGCTCCTCCAGACTTGCTTTAACAATGAGTTTCATTCTTGCCCATGCTGCTGTTGTCCTCCTTTTATTTATCTGGCATTCCCTTTCCTTTTCTGATGAATAAATTTTACCTGAATGTTCAGAAATTAAGTATCTCTTCGCAGACCTGGTAAGAGGGAAAATGGTTAATCAAGGTAATACTGTCAGCTTCTTGCAGATAAACTAAAATAAGCAGCTAACAGCGTGGTTTTTTGTCCTCTGACAAATAGGATGCACAGGCTAAGAAAATGCATTAATTAAGGAGAACATGGAGTGGTAACTCTTGTCCTTTCTTTAAAAATGCAGGTGTCTGTTTCAGATGAGCCAGAAACACTGTACAAGAGATTGTCCCTTTTAGTTAAAGGCCACGATAAAGCTGTGTTGGAGAGCTATGAATATTTTGCAGTGCTTGCAGCTAAAGAACTTGGCATCTCTGTTGAAAAAGTGTAAGTAACTGATCTCTAGAGTGACATGGTGTCAGATGTTTCTTATGTCACCTACTGCAATTCAGGTTCAGTGCTTAGAAGTGTTTTCTCTTTTGGAAGAAACAGCTGTAATCTGACGGTTTTTCTCAGATTATAAATATAGCACTTCTTAGATGAGAAAGCAGCAGCAGTTCTACACTCAGCACTGCTGTAATAGAAGTGCATTTTAACTACATGAAGGATATTGACTGTACTCTAAGTCTCTAAGTACAGTTGTCAGTGCTCTAGCTTCCCTGAACTAATGCTGGTTAATACCTGAGTATTAACCATGCCCATGTGGGTTAATCCTAAACTGTACCAGTGTTTAATACTTCCTTGTGGATCTTTTAAATGTCAAATAAGAACAGGAATTCCAGCATAATCTTTCAGATAATTTATATTAGCATCCTTTGTATAAAATGAAATTTTCTTCTTGTGCTTTTTTCAGACATAAACCTCCAAAGAAGATAGAACGATTGACACTTTTAAAGTCTGTACACATTTACAAGAAGCACAGAGTTCAGTATGAAATGAGAACTCATTACATGTGTTTGGAGGTAAGAAATGTAAAAAAAAAAAATGTTCTAAGTGCACAATTCAAAGGTGTTAATAGATGTTAGTTCAGGTGTGAACACCAACTTCCTATGTACTTGGGTTGGGGAGGACAGGGCAGAGGATAGCAGAAAACAGCTGACCTAGGTATGTCAAATGTAACACAAGTTATTCTGAATGTACAGCCTACATAATTTTCGTATTAAGAGACTGATTTTGACCATCATCTTAACAGCTGAAAGAATGATTAAAATACAAGGTAGAATTGAGGGTTATCTTTATATGTTTTATACTCTTGGTTTCCGAGAATCAGTGGGATAGGAGCTTTCTCAGGAAGGGAAAAAGATGCAGCTAAATGATGGCCATTACCAGTCACGAAAGGTTCTGCTCTTTGTGAGTTTGTCTGATGTTTTTGAACACGCATACTTTTGCCCTATGCAACATAATGTGCCAAACTAAGACTGCCTGGAGGAAATACGAAAAAGGAAGCACATACAGACCACTAGCTCTGTGGTTGATGACACAGGCTTCTGTATGGTTTAGAATACAGTTGTGGTTGACTTTCTTAGAAGAAAGGTTTACTGCCAGCATGTTGTGGCTCCTGGGTGTCTTACTGTATATTTGCACAGTGCTTAGCAAAATGGGAGTTTGCTGTAAGTCACCAGACATTACTGCAGTACAAACGGCTTCCCACAGACCATGAGCACTATTTTTGCTATCCAGGAGAAACTAGAAAATCAGTAATTTAGTGAAATTCTGGAGTTGCAGGATTTATAACAAGCTTGAACTTCGAGAGTATACAAAAGCTAGTACTTCTTGCATAACCTGTAATTAATTTCATCTGATACCAGCAGTGTTAAGATCCACCACTTCCATCATAATCAATGGATGTGATCACAGGCAGCATGCGCAGTTCTGTGGAGTGAAATAACTCTCATGCAAGTATAAAGTAGTTGTGTACAACTCAACTGCCTCGTTCGATATTATGAAAGCTGCCTTCCTGTAGGATGTTTGGTCCCATAGCAAGAGCTAGAGAAGCTAGGGAAAAGTAATATTTTTTTTATTATTTTGTTTGAAGTATTAATAGTAGTAGTTCATTAAAAAACATCACTTCTGTTTTAGTTAAAATACCTAACAAGCAGTACTGCTGCAGTTTACTTGGAGTATGTTCAACGAAACTTACCTGAAGGGGTTGCCATGGAAGTAAAAAAGGTAAGTTTCTATCTCACATTATTAACTGTTATGCAACTAAGTCCTGGTGCAAGTACCAATAACTACTTCCTTTCAGAAGTTGTCAGAGGAGATGTGTGTAGTTGGGAAGGAGCATTTTCCAGTGTTGAACTGTAAAGAGGCTGTATTGCTTGAAACCGCCACTAGGTGGCATTTTAAATCTGATAAATATCTCAAACCAGAATAAATAAAGTAGTTAGATGTTAACTGGTTGGTATAATAAATTATTGCTTTGCTTTCCTTTTAGACTAAGATAGAGAAAATACCTGAACACATTCGGGAACCAGTTTGGGATACACTACCTCAAGTAGAAGAAACTGAAGTCAAGTCATGAACTCACCAGGTACTTGGCTCCATTAGTGCGGAAATTAGTTGCGCCTATCTGCCTAATTTACTGAGACAGTCTATTGTTCAATAAAAGTTCTCTTATAAAGTAATTTTGTAAAATCTTGTTTCATCAAATTATTATTGATTATAACTCCAGTACATGTTGACTGAACAGCTATAAAGTGATGAAGTCTGACTACTCTGTGATCAAGAACTATGGTCATCTATAAGGTGTTTGTAGAAAGGTAAAATTTATTTTTATTTATGTATGTATATAAAAGTGTGTATATATAAAAAAATATAAATTCTCAATCTCATTTTGATACTAAATGGCTTCTGAATTCTGAAATACTTGCAAAATTTACTTCATGTTTGTGTATATGTTAGGGATGCCAGATTTTAATGTTAGGGATGCCAGACTGTTACTAATTTTTTGTTGTAGTTCCTTTGAAGTAGCTGAATCCCAGGTGTACGTACAGCTTGAATATTAACTTGTAGCAAGTAAAAAAAGCACAATCTTAGAGGACACTGAGGCATACTGAGACCTTCCTAGGCTCCTACAGTTCAAATAGCCTCATTTCCAGTCTTAGTAACCGCTTCCTAACAGAGCAGTGATCACAGTGCAAATCTGAGACTTCCGCAGGCTGACGTCTCTAACCAAATGAAGCTCTTGGAGTAGAGACATGTTGGAAAGCCAATGGGTACTAGAAAGTGTCATTGTGGATAAGACAAACAGTGCATTACAGGGAAAGGCAGAGCCTTTTTGTAAGCTGGCTTGGTTGGTCATTGTGTAAATGCAGTCTAGGTGGACACTACTTGTGCTTAGAGGGGGAAAACAGTACGAATAGCAAAAGAGTCCTCAACTGCTTTGAAGGTTAGTTCACCCTGAGTCCAAGGAGATAATGCTGGGTACGAAGCCATCATTGACTTTACCTTCAGACTGCATTAAGCACTTCTGCCTTTACTAGGTTAGCAGGAAGGACACAGCTGCAGGAATGTGCGTCAGTATTAAGGGTTTGATCTGACTGCTATTAAAAGAATTTACAGAAGGAATAGCCAACTGGGACAAGACAAGCAGAGAAGCTGGATCATAGTTATCAAGAGCACTCAAAGCTTTATACAGTCACAAAAGAAAAGAATCCCAGTGTTATTATTAGACACAAATGGACAATCTTAAGGGGAAATACCTGAAAGACAAAAACCAAGCTTGAGCTTGAAGATTGTCTGCATTTTCTAGCAGTAGAGAGGCCCAAAGGTGTTTTAGGAGGGATATTTCAAGACAGTCAATATAGCTGGTATCAACTTGTGATAGAAAAAAAGCTGCCTGTGCACTTACACCAATATGCCTCAAGGAAAAAAACAAAACAAAGGGAAGTTAATCAGTTAATCAAAGCCCTTATGGGAAGATGCACTACCTAGTTCTCCCTTCAAGATGTTTGCTTTCCTCAAATTCAAGCTATTCTTCCTCTCTCTCATTCCTAGTATTCAGTCATAATAGCATTTTTTAAAGTCATGTCAGATACTGTATAATGTGAAGGAAGAAACTGAGCTGACCTGGTTAAATAAAGCTAGCACTTCAGAGGAGCAGCCTCTTTCAAGTCTGTGTTACATTTTCTTCAAATTGGCCGTGTTTCCTTGCTTAGTTTTGCATAAGCCACCTGCCAAGTTCAAACTGTATATAGTATTGAAATGTAACTGTGCTCAGTACTAAGTCTTTCTTGGTTTGATGCTTGATAAGATTAAGGGGTTGTCTTTCATTGTCTTTGGTGTTCTACTCTCAGCCTGCAGTTTTTGGCTAAATGGCCAGTCAGCATGGCTTTTCAGTTGGCTCAGAGTTTTATCAGACCTAAACAGGAATGGGTTTAGGAGACAACTACAGAAAGTAGTAACACATGTAAACAACCCGCTGGCAGAAGGGATACTTGGTTTTGGGAAAGATGTTGCCTTGATGTGCTATTTGCATCAATGTAGATAATAACAAGAAAATAAATACCAGTGAAAAATAAAAAAGCAGAGCCATGCCCAAATACAGTGTTTGGCAGCTGTTGACTTAAACTGACCCAGTTTCTTGAAGTTACAGGAATCAGGGATGTATTTCATTTACAGTGAGACTATTAAAAAAAAAAAACAAACCTTTTAACACAAGCAATTTACTAGTTCAGGTAGGTGCACACAGCAAGTGTAACGTTTCTCTTCCATAACGCTTTCCTACATACTTTTTTAAGATGAGTGGAAAGCATTATGGGATTTAGGGTTTTGCTTCCCTCTGAAAAATAAGTTACTGTCTCATTGTTCAATCTAAAATTCCTAGTACTCTGAACAAAAGATACTTTTCTTTGGAAATGCTAGTTATTGAGTTACAAGAAACATGATTGATAAAAAGTACGTTTTCTTCTTTCAACTTAAGTAAAATGCCACTTGATAGTATCAAAAGGTGTGCAATCAGCGTATCACATCTGCTGATGGAAGGTCTTTCATACATCAGCACATGATTATCACTCATCTTTCATTCCCTACTGCCATGTAAATATTAATTCTTCTTTGCTTCAGTCTTAGAATGTGAGTTGCCAGTTCAAAATAGTAGGGGTTTTTTGGTGTTAATTACTGAAAATATTAATAGGGTTTTTTCCCTAAGACTAATATTAGAGTGCAAAAGTTTCACCTTTTGCTCAGAGAAAATTAAAATATCTGCATTATGGAGACATAGTGAAATCGTAACTGAGTAGTGCCAACAAGACTCCAAACATCTACAGCAACTTCAGATACCGAGAACTGATTAAAGCCTCTTCAACCTGTGGTGGTCATGCTGGTAAGAAATTAAAGAGCAGAAGGTTTAGTTTGCCATCAGAAATTAAATGCAGTGATGAAACTTCCAGACCAAAACAATCATTCTATATTATCCAAGAGGGAACATAAAAAATAAAGCCAATGTTCTATACATAGATCACTTTGGTAACTTGTTGGCAGAAAAATTAATTCTAGTATTTTAAACAGGGTCAGTTTTCATCTGACCCATTCTTCCCTAACATCGGCACCCACTCCAAAGCAGAGAAGGTCATAATGCAGATTTCTTTCCCCTGGTGGCTCATTCAAATCTATGCCTCTCCTTCACTTGCAGACATTTAACAACCTGTCCCAGTGCACGGTATCAAGGGTTGGAAAACCTGGCCTTACATGCTCTCTCTAAACTGTTTCTTACAAACTGGACATGGATGTACTGCAGAACTAGTTTGAAACACTGAAAAGAATGTATTCATTTTTCTGGGTGTCCACAGAAGGTTTAGGGCTATGTGTTCATCCTCTTCCTTCAGTTTTCCATTTCTGTCATGTAAGCTGGAATGCACATGTCTACTAAGTTGTCAGCTAAGCTTTCTACTGTATTATATATGCTTCTACATAAGTGTTTGTGGGTTTGGGGTTTTTTAAGCTAATGTTGCTATAGGCAACACATGGATCCAGGCGGCTTATGTGGTTTGTGTACTTTGGATTCTTCTAAAATGCTTTTCCCTCCCACCACAAAAAGACTAAAATTTTAAGAGATGCTATCTTAATCTCCATATTCTGTTTTTCAGTGTGTAAGCTTGGTAGTTCTTTAAAGAATACTAAGTTAATCGTGGTGTTTTTTACATTAACAAGACATTATAGTAACTGCAGTGTCAGTAAACAGTCATTTTCTTGTCAAAAGAATTGCAGTTTGGTTTTCAATGCCATCACTCAAAATACAGCTCACAGTGGCAAAAAAAAAAAAAAAGGCAGTAGCACAGCTGTTTCTAAACTTAGTTTCCATCAGCAAAATAAGGATATGGGGCTAAATATGGCTATTTGAGAACAGATGTTTAATACAAAAACACCCAGCAGTTCTTCTTAGCTAAATCAGTTTTGCTTAAGACCAAACAAGCAAGCAACTTGCATACGTAAGTAACAAATACTTGCCTGAATAACTTTTTGTTGATCGTTAATGCTAAACAAAGCAGGATAAAGAAGTTTTTAAAAATCTGTTGCCTTAAACATGGCCATGTTCTGCTCTTTCGATGGGTCAGCATACCACCTCCAATTAGCTTCAAAGGGTGATTGTGTTACCCTTTAGAAGATAATAGCATCATTCTTCCATCAAAAACGTCATGCCACATCCTGAAAGTCCTGCAGCTAGACTGGCCTGATGAAATTGCCAACTCTAGAGGTACTCCTGTTCTTCTGCAGAGAACTTTCAGTTTTTTTAGGTAGCCTGTGAGTAAAGTTTGGGGTTGTTTTGTGATAAAAAATTCTTTTTATATTTTGAGTCAGCAGCTGCCAAACACTGTATTTTGGCATGGCTCTGCTTTTTGATTTTTACTGGTATTTATTTTCTTGTTATTATCTATGTTGATGCAAAAGCACATCAAGGCAACATCAAGGTGCTTGCCTTTGCATAGGTGCCAGCTGTTACCAGGAAAGGAGTGATGTATAGAAACAGGCAACAGAGACGATTAAGCAAGGCTAGACTGAGATGAAGGAACCTCTTACCCTTCACATTGCTCCAAGCCAGTATCTTGAGTTATGCTGCTTTCTTTTTATTATATGCCACAAAACAGCATATAGTAAATAAAGCATCATTCAACTTTATAAGCTATATGCTACAGTCCATGGTGTAATTTCCACTGCCTAACTAACTTACAGAAAAATTATTTCAAGTTTAGCTCTCCATTTGTGCATTTGAATGGAAAAAGAATGCGATCAATGCATTTATTACAATGAAAAATATACAATAAAATGAAAAAGGCATCTCACAAGGGAAAAGGCAAAAGTAGAAGTAGAAAAGCAGGGATGAAGAAAAGCATAAAAGTGAGTTGCTGCACTGATAAATGAAATGAGATGAATGAAGGCAGTAAGCTAGAAACACAGAATCCATTATGTTTAGATTAGCAGAGTTCTCTAAAATGAAGGAAGCGGCTTTTATAAACCATGTGTCTCTGGAATATGTCATGCAGATAAAAGTGCTGAAGGTACACAGGTAGCAGCAGCAGACTCCTGCTGACAGGGTTTAATCGTGGCTGCTGACAGAATTAGGTCAGGAGAACAGATTACAAATAATTCAAGCTTTTTGCCTTGGTTTTCTTTCCAATATTA